AATAAATAAATAATAATAATAAACCAATGAATCGTTCACCAGGATTATTTTAAGAAAATTTAAAATAGCAACATCTAACATTTCCCTTCCTTTCTAGTTTAAATTTAAGATTTTTTTTAAAAAACTAAGCATTGTATTGGCATTATGGATCAAACTTCGAGTTTCAGTTTTTAAAAACTTTCCCAAAAGAGAAGTAGCGTAGCACAAGCAGTATCTTTCTGGCTATGGATAGTATTTTTGAAGACTTACCAGTTTTTAATTGTCCATTGTTTCCTAAACTGTATTTTTAATTTCATTTGCTCTCTCCTAGGGAATGAAGGATGGCAGCACGCCGGGCATTAAAAGCTGTTTTGGTAGATCTCAATGGCACACTTCACATTGAAGATGCAGCTGTGCCAGGCGCACAGGAAGCTCTTAAAAGGCAAGCTATCTTCCAGGTTCAGCTGACAAATTATGTTTGTAAGTGCCATTTTACCAAGGCAGATCATTAGCTAAATGGATGGCCTTGAGATGGCATTTTACTAGCTTACCATATATACATGAGCTGCCTTGGGTTTAGCTAGAAGATATATGCTTTGTAATATCCTCCAAACATTGTTCTCTAAGCTTTTATTAGGATTTGTCTTTTGCTCTAGACATTTGTGTGTATGTATTTCTACAATTTGGGAATGAAAACTCAAAAGTTCTAAAATGTGTAATAGCATTGGGAATATCACAAATTTTAGAACCAAAATGAGCAGGTATAATTTTACCTCCTTCTGCTCCATTTTAAGATTTAACATTGAATGGATAATCAGTAAAGTTTGATTAAAGGACTTGAAACTTTCTAATTTTTCCATCAGCTTAATTGAATGCCTCCAAAGGCTAGGGAAGATTATCTTCTGTTTCCAGTACACCAGCTACAGTTGTATCAACAAAAGCCTACATATAAAGTCGGTATCACAGTAAAAACATGTAAATGAGCTGAAAATGAATGTTATTTCTGGGCGTTGAAAGCTGCTCAGCAGTATAGAGTACGTGACATGTATTGTTTTCCAACCTTAAAATGTTCATGCTGTTAATCAGAAGTATCACAGTGCCCAGCACTGACAAAAGATTGACACAGGCTTTGTATTCTCTTGGAGCTTACTTTCAGTCTGGAGAACCAAGAGATATAAATAGTATTATATATTTGGTAGGTATCAGAAGCTATCAATTTTGTTAGGAATCTTGTTCATTTCATAGGTGGAGAAATACAGTACATTGTTTAAAGCCAAAAGAAAATTGAGCACACTGTTAAGACTTTCACTGCTTGAAGTGATCTCTCTGAGTTACGCTCTAGGAGCAAGGATCAATGTCCACCAGTCAGTCTGCTCCTGTGGACAGGGCTTTTACTGCTCTAAAGATGAGCTTTCTGCTCTGGATCAGAGAAAACATTTTTTATTTCTGGTGAACAGTGGCATCTCTAAATAGCTCTGTAAACTATAAGCCTGCCTTTCCAGGGGGGCAGGAGCCTGCACATTGCTTTGTCACAGGCACCAGCAGGTTTCTGTTTCACTGTACTGCCACTGACAGTGTGGTTTCTATAGAAACAAATAAACTAAGGGAAGTTGAGGGACTAGTAAAACAAAAAGTTTTAAAAGGAAACTCATTAAAAATGATACAGTTATTTCATACTTACTCATTTTTAGGATGATAGCTATGTTGGCGTAATCAATTTCTTTTGCAAGATAAACCATCAGATTTAATGCATTGCACAGAAGTACTACCACACAGATGTTAAAGCAGTAATCATCATTGCTGTGAATTATTTAATATAAATTTAATCAATGTTCTTCGGGTGATTATTTACAAACTTCTGTTTTATTTGCTTGTTTTAAATTGTAGTTAGTACCTTTATGCTTTATGGTGGTTTGAGGCAAGCATAAATGAAAAGCAACAGGATATCAATAAAAAATGGAGAATTGTAACTAAATTAAAATTATGTTTAGATTTTCAGTTAAAACACTGGGCCGGGGATATAGCTCAGCAGTATAGCACTTGCCTGGCCTTTAAAATACCATAGGATCACAAAACAGTTTTTCATTTTTAAAGAAAGCTAGCGTGTCTTGAATTCTTTCTCAGATATCCTGCCAGTTTAGGTTTCAGAAGTAGATCATGGAATCTAATCAGCCTTATGTGTAAGTAGTTCAATGTGAAAATGTTTTCTATAAAAATGGGACACTGGGGGCAGATTGTCTGGGTAGTTTTGGTTTATAAACTTAGTAGCCCATTTGAGCTTAGCTATTCACTGCGAACATCCAGCAGTACCCTCTGTTCTCTTAACATAGGAGATCAGACACTGTCCCAGGATACAGGAGTCTCATCTCAGCACGGCTGATAATAAGCTGTAAAAAGCTGGCAAGTTACTTACTTCCCTAGGACTTAGTGTTCTCACCTTCTAAGAAGAAAGTATTGGACCAGTATGTAGTCTCTTAGGGAAACTTCACTTCTTGTATCTGTGAGTGCAGTAGTGATTCACTTCTTCACTCAACTCTGCAGAAAAAGGCAATTAAAATACAGAAGTCTCTCAAAAAAAGGAGGAGCTTTATTTGACTTTGAAATGCTTGAGAGTGAGGTTGATCTGAACATGTAACATAAGCATCTGGACAAATTAAAAGAAGACAAACTTTATCCATAAAAAACGCCCATTGACTTACCTTACACGGTGGTGTTCAGTGATAAGAACAGTCCACTGTGGCATGTGTGCCATATGTTCAGCACCACTGTTTTAACATTCGGCAGCCTTTTATCAAGGTAGGAAGTTTCATGGGACTAAGATGTGAAAGTTGCCTCTCGACTTCTCAGTTTTACTTTTCCAGGTTACGTGGTTCTTCTGTAGTGGTTAGGTTTGTGACCAACACAACCAAAGAGAGCAAACAAGATCTACTAGAAAGATTGAAAAAACTGGAATTTGATATCTCTGAAGATGAAATATTCACGTCTCTGACTGCAGCCAGAAGTTTAGTAGAGCAAAAGCAAGTCAGGCCCATGCTGCTGGTTGATGATCGAGCACTCCCTGATTTCAAAGGTGGGAGAAATGTGGAAAGATTTAAAAATGAGTTCTTCATATCTGCTTATAAATCATTCACAGGAGCTGTTTATTCTGACTTACCTCTGTTATTGAAATGGTCAGTGCTACTGATCAAGAACTTGAGTCTGAAGTAGTGTTTCTCAAAACTTTTTTGACCACTGTCCACAATAAGGGAAATACATACAGTGACCTAGTATGTGTTTGTGTTTACCTATGTTAAACAATATAAGATACACGTTATTGTCTATTTGGTTTACTTGTTTGATTTGTTTCTACTTACAACCCTCCAAATTAGTTTCATAATCTACTAATGGATCCTGACCCACAGTTTGAAAAAAACATAGATTAGAAATACTAGAGTATTATAACTCTCAACCAAGGATCCACTCTTTTTAATGTCATTAAATGAGATAAATCAGGATATCCTTGTTTAAAAATAGATGTCATTCTAGATAGTGCAAAGATTTTACAGTAAATGTGAAATATTTTTCAATCAGTTGAAAATAAAATTGTATTCTCTTTGGAAAAAATTAACAGGCTCTGAGACATTGTCAAAGTCTTATGAAGTATTGCCACATTGCTTGGTTTTGAAGATAATATTAAAATGATACAGAAAAATGAATGAGATTATGTTCATTAAAAGATCGTATTTTAGCTTATAGAAGAGTAGGGAAATTCACCTTAAGTGTGTAGTTGGGCAGAACCACAAAACGTAAATGAGTAAGAAATATACCAATGTATCAGTCGAACTAGTATTTGTAGGAAACAAAATCCCCGTTTGCTGAATTAAACTGAAAATGTATTAGAAGGATCTGAGTGCTGTGGGAATAGCGCAATTCCTATGGAGAGGAATTTGGCAGTCGCTAACAAAATTACATATAAAGCAGTGCTTGTAGTAATCTATCTTTGAGATACAATTATAAGGATATACAATATCATATGAACAGAGTTATTCATTACAGCCTTATTTATAATAACAAGATTGGAAACAACCGAAGTGTTCATTAGAAAAGACTGGTTGAATATACTATATCCATAAAATGAAATGTTTTGTCACTGAAGAGTAATAAGCAAAAGTAAGGTATAGAAAACCTTATATACTTGCTATGTAGAAAAAATGAGAGAAAAATAGTGTGTGTATGCATTTGTCTTACATTGATCAAAGAAAGCCAAAGAAGGTCTCCATGAAAAGATAATAGTTTGTAAAAACGAAATGAAACAAATGAACTCTAAGTTATAGTGTAATCACCTACAGAAGTTACTTTATATGTCTTTATTTTTTCTTATCACTTTATTTTTTGTAAATAAATTGTTTGCAGACTTAAATGAATATAACAATAAAAATTGTCCACAATAAAAATGAAGAGTTTACACAGATTAGTCATATAATAGTTCACTCTGTGTCAAAATCAAGAAACTTATATTCATATAATTAGAATTCTCAAAGTAGAAAGGTATGCAATAATTATTTAATGATTTAAAATGTCTGAATTTAGTTGAACTTATAACACCACATTTCCAAGAAAAAGGAACCTTTTGCACAAGAAATTTGAAAAGGGGCTGGGGAGATGGCTCAGTGAAATAAGCACTTCCCTGGCAAGTGCAGGGGCCTGAGTTCAATCCCCCGTTCCACCAAAGAAAAAAAAAGAAAAGAAATTTGAATAAAATCAGACACAGATATACAAAAATGACATTGTCCAAAACTTATTATAAAGAAAAAATCATTAAAGCATATACATAAAAAAATTAGCTATGGACGAACAAAATTAAATAGCATCTTATTCCACATTATAAAGAAAAAAAAAAGACGAAGTGTGAAGAAACTACACTAATTAAAGTACTGAAGGAAACGAAAACAAAAAGATCTGTCCTCTTTGAATTTTATGCTTAGCAAATATACCTTTGAAAACTAAAAGTAAAATATTTTCCAGTTATACAAGCTTGAAATATTCTAAGACCTCCAGATGTAGCATATAGGAAATAGCCAAAAGCATATTTCAGAAGGCAAGAGAAGTTGCTGTATGCTCCTGGATGAAGAATAAAGAGCTCTCAAAATGATAGTTATGTAGGACTATGTAAAATATATTAAATGAACCCATTTAAAAGGTCATTAAAGATTTCTATAAAACAGTATTAATCTTATGTAGAATTATGCACATATCTTTTTCGCGCGCGCGTGTGTGTGTGTGTGTGTGTATAAAAGGTAGGGAAGAAGTAATATAAAGTCAATGGAAAATGGAAATGTACTTTTTAAAGTTTCTAATACTAGGAGAAAATATATCATGTCTTTTAAATAGATTGTAAGTCAGATATACATATAAATTTTGAAACAAATTAAGGTTAAGCAATATTCAGAAAATTAAATACTAATTAAAAACTAAATGTTTCAGAACAATTGAACTAAGAAAAAGTTTTCATGATAGCAAAGAATTACTAAGAATAAAACATAAGATAAATACTGGAGTGACAAATAAATGACCAGCACTTCTAACAGTTTGGAGATAGGATATCGCACAAAGTTCTAGTCTGACATGGACATGGATAATGTCCATAACACTTACTGGTGTCCAGGTGTCACTTGTGGGATTGAGCTACTGCTATTTCCTTGATATCCACCCTATAGACCCAGACAGAATCATGACCCATAGGGTGCAGGAGAAGTCCATTTGTAGAGTGTGCTGATGGAAATGCCTTGCTGCTGTATACAAAAGAATAACTGAAAGACTGCTTTGTATACCTCTTATTTTCCTCTGTTTAATTGTTTGCCCTATTTGGTGGGTTCTTTCCATTCTCATTCATGGAGTTGTGGTTATTTTGCTCCTTCTCTAGAACATGTTTTAGTAGTCTGTGTAGGTTTGGCTTTGTCATCATGAAATTCTTGAGATGTTCTTTGTCATGGAAGTATTTCACTTCTCCATTATATTTGAAAGAGGGTTTTGCAGGGTGTATCAGTCTGGGTTGGAATTTGTTTTCTTGCAAGACTTGAAGTACTTTGCTCCATGCTCTTCTTGACTTGATGGTTTGTGAAGAGAAATCTGCCGTTATCCGGATGGGTTTTCCTTTAAACATGACCAGTTTCTTTTCTTTAGCGGTTTTTAGTATACTATTCCTATGCTGAATTTCTGGGATCTTGATTATTAGATGTCTGGGTGTGGTTTTAATTGGATTGACATTATTTGGAGCTCTATATGCTTTGGTTACTTCAATGTCAGATAGTTTCCCCATATTTGGGAAGTTTTCTGCTATTATTTCCGTCCATATTCTTTTGATATCATTTGTATTGGCTTCTTCCTTCTCTTTGCTGCCTATTAGTCTCACATTGTTCATCTTTGCATCGTCTTGCAGGTATTAACTTATTTTTTCCCGCATCCTAGTTGTTTTTAAGAGATCTTTTTCTTTTTCACTAGCTGCAATGGTGTCTTTAAGGTCTGAAAGTCGGTTTTGCCAGTTTGTGATTGAAGTTTTAAATTCCTGTATATCACTGGATCTGCTTCATGCATTCTATTTCTTTCTCATATTGCTTATTCAAGGATTCCATCATTTCTATATTCTGCTCTATTTTTTTTATCAGTGTCTTCTTTAGAAGCACTTAGTACTTCTTTCATTATAGTTGTCATTTCTTTTTTGACTTGAGAAATTGTTTCTGATCTTATTTCCTCTATTCTTTTCTGCAGTTGTTTCTTTACTTCACATGCTATTTTTTCAGAGATTTCAGGTGTGTGATTTCCAATTTATTCAATGTTAGTGTCTTCTGCATTTGTTCTGGGTGGGCTCGGGGCCTGAGACTGCATTTTGTTTCTTCTCTTTGTCATTTTGTATAGCACTGTCTTCTGACCTTTGGTGTAGCGCTTAGATCGAGTTATTACCTTAGCACCAGGTCCAGATCTACCAAGTTCAAACTCGTCCAAGTGGGTGTGGCTTGGATCTGGTTGCTGTGCTCCACTTCTTCCTATTGTAGCCCTTGGAGTTGAACCCTCTGTGCCACTCTGGCAAGATGTTGTGTTCCTGAATTATTATATGTCCTTAAAATATACTATTTCAACCTATTTACTCATTGTAGGATAAGTCCCAAGAGTAAAAGAACCACAAAGAAATCTTAAACTGCATTCATTAATTTTATTGTTATTACTCATATTGGTAACTCCTTTAAATTATATACATGTGGATAAAACAATATAATAACTGTTAGTATTGTTAGGATTTTTTTTTTTTTTTTTTTTTTTTTTTTTGCTCCAAATGCCTTCAGGGCAGGTTTGGCTGGCTAGAGTTGTGGGGATCGAACCACAACACCCTGAGCCTGACTGCTTTCTTGAAGCAGCCTGTTAGTATTGTTAGAACATAGAACTTTTTTATTTCTTTTTAGTGATGCCCAGGATTGAGCCCAGGGCCTTGTTCAGGCAAGGCAGGAACTCTACCACTGAACCACATCCCTAGCCCAAATGTAGAATTTTAAGTGTAACTCCAAAGAGGTAAATTAGTTAAAAGCTGTATATTAGTTTGAAAATATCATTATTCCTTTTTTCTCTTAAAAAACACTATCTAGGTCTTCCACTGAAAATGCCTAGAAGTAATCATAGTGCAGTGATCAGACCCTGGTATCTGTTGCCATTTCCAGTTGTTTCTTGGAGGAAGGACTTACTCCAAGTCTTGGCAGGCATTAAGAAGGACTGTTGCTTAGGTCATTATGTCAGCAGCTGGCAGCTGGTCAGGTCATGACTAAAGAGATAATTTTAAGTGTCAAAAAGTATGATAGCAGTGTTTTGAAATATATATATACAAAGTGCTACTCAGTCCCAAAAACTCACTGGTCTCTACTAGAGATTGTTAGAGCAGTAACTCAGTACTCTGCAAATTGGTAAGAAAGTGAAACAACTATTTATCTTGTCTTATTTGAACTGTATTTTAAGGTAACCAAGTTTTTTGTTTTGTTTTTTTGTTTTGTTTTTGCAAAACTGGGAATTGAATTCAGGCCCTTGCACTTGTCAGGCAAGTGCTTGTTCTGCTGAGCCATCTCACTGCCCCTTGATGAGTATTCTTTATAGGAGAATTTCAGGAAATGCAAACAAAATGACAGAATTGGAAAGTTAACATTTGGCAGGCCCTAGTGAAATAGGTGATGCTGTCAGCAGATTTTAAAAACATTAGCTGAGGGGCCGGGGAGATGGCTCAGTGGAATAAGCGCTTCCCTAGCAAGCACAAGGGTTTGAGTTCAATCTCCGGTTCCGCAAAAACAAACAAACAAAGAAAAACATTAGCTGAAGGGCAGATGAGGATCTTCAAAACAGAGGGATCAGGCTGACACCACTTGAATCCCTTGTTCAATCTTAACATCATTAAAAGTAGAACTTGTGTGGCTGCATGATGTGGTTTAAGAAATAAACAGCCTGAAAATGGGATATGAACCTATGAAGATTCTGCAGTAATCACCAGTGAACAAAAAAGTTAGGGCTAATGGAACAAATTTAGATAATACTGCAAACAATCAGCTAAATCCAAAACTTGGGACCTTCTCCTGGATTAATGGAGTCATTGCATCAATAAGTGAGAGGAGTGAATCTATAGACTGAAAAATAAGAGATAGCAGTCAAATGCAGCATTGGGCCTTACTGGGAAGCCAGTTTAACATATCAGATGTTAAAAGGACTTTGAGAGACATAGTAAAATTCAATGTAAACTGAGATAATAAATTGTTATTAACTGTGCTGATATAATATTACGGTTTTAAAAAATTTAAGTCTGTTGATTAAAGATACATACTGAAATATAAAGGAATGGGATGATATATTTGGGATTTGCTTTTAGACAGACTTCCAAAAAATGTAGATCATTGGCAAAATGTTGATGGTTGTAAAGTGAGATGATGGGTACATGAGGGCTTATAATACTAGTCTTTCTACTTTTAATATGATTTTTAAAATTTCCATAACAAAAAGAAAAGTCTCTGTTTGGATAGCCCGTAGAACTGCTACAGAGTACTAGAGTAAGTCCTAGGGGTTGTGTAGCAGGGAATAAGATGGACCATCATCCTCATTATGAATCTCATGCGGCTGATGTCCCTACCAATCAGTGACCTCCATAGCTGGCCATACTGGCCCTACTAGCGCTGCTTCCCTGGCATCTGATTGACTGAGAAGTCACTTTACTGGGGGTCTCTTGCTTTGTGTTTTTACCTCCCACTTAAGAAAAACCCAGAGCAAGAAGTGTGACTAATAGAACCTCAATCTAATGCCAGCAACCTTAACTAAGTCTAGAAAAGATCAAGTGTCCTCACTCTCAGTTGTGAGTGTGAGATCTACCCCTCAGTGCTCCGTGTGAGTGAGTTAGTAAGTTGCCTAGCTGAGAATGCTGTGCAGACACCGAGCAGTCAAGAGTAGTGATACACACATCAAGTAATCAGTATATTTACATTTCTGAGTGAGTCAAAGGACCACAAAACAATTTTTAATCTGATTTTTTTCTTAATTTTAGTTAAGATTCTAGCTGTTTCACCAGTGAGCTGGAGTTGAAATATACAAGAAGCCTTTTTTTTCCCCCAGAGGTTTCCAACACGTTTTATTTTGTGGAACACTGTTCTGTGGCCTTTGAGAACCAATATCTGTATAAATTCCTATTAAATGTCCAATTCATGAGATTTTTGTTCAATCTAATACTGTATATTTCAATATCTTTTTAATGCATGAAAATACCTAAGGTAGACAGGCAGATTTTTGAAAGGAATGGACATACCTTTGCTAATACTGAGTACGGTATCTTTGTCTTAGTACATGCATATAATAAAAGAAATTAATACAAAAAAATTTAATTCTTGTAATAATTACTCAACAGTTGTAGCAACTAGTAGGAAGGAAATTGAAAAAGCTTGGGTATCTGTAGGTAATAAGAAAGGCAAAAAGGAATTGGATAGATAATCAAACAGAACTTTCAATCAGTCTTAAAACTGTGATGGTGAATGTGTTTGTTGGGTTGTCATATCTGACATCTGATCAAATTCTAAGACTTTAAAATATGCTTTAATTATAAAATGTGTGTGTGTAAAACTAAAAGTAGATTAGCATCATGTACAGAGCCATAGAATCTGCAGTGCTTTCCATATTTATCACGAATGTGTTAGCCTCAACTGTGTCAATTAGAAAGTCTAATTTCCGTCTCTTAGATTCTCAGTTCCTCATCACTTGCTATTGATCTGACAGCTTATAGGACACTTGTGGCTTTTCTTGTTGATTGAAATCAGTAGAGCATTTTGAAGTTAGAAATTGCTTGTTTGAGAACATCAGGTTACAATTTTCAAATCACATCTAGTTACTGAGCAGCAGTTTGACCAAATGGGAAAATATTAGCAGATGCTGTCCCCCTGTCCCTCTATCCCCCTTTCTTTTTCCCCTTCCTTCTCCTTCCCTCCACTTTCCCATGTCTCTTTTCTTTTTCTCTCTGTTCATCCTTTCTTCTCTTCCTCCATCTCTTCAACCTCAGATTACAACTACAGCAAAAATGTGCACTTTACTGACTAAAAACTACTTTGTTATAAAATATGACATTGCTTTTAATTGCACTTATTAACAGGTTTTTGTTTTTTCTTCCATTCCCAGGAATACACACAAATGATCCTAATGCTGTGGTTATAGGATTGGCACCAGAACATTTTCATTATCAAATTCTGAATCAAGCATTCCGGTAAATCTCCTTACCTGTTTTTCAGCTCATAATATATTCCCTTTTTCCTAATTTAGTTTTTGGCATATAAAATCTTACGTATTTTACTCTCTGGCTATCTGGATTATTCCATAAATGATAATCACAGTCTGCACTGGCATACTGGTGATAGGGGTAAGGAAGGACAGATACACGTAGTGTCCACGTGACTTAAGGGATGCCTGAGTCATGAGGAACATCCAGATTTCTAGACTAAGCAAGTGAAGTAGAGAGCACTATTTGGGCTTTAGAAAGTGAGTAGGGCACAGTGGTGCATGCCCAGAATCCCGCACTCTGGGAGAAGGTGAGGAGCAGTTGAAGCTGTTTGGCCTGTGAGACATCC